AAGGAAATTCTTATTTTTAATAACAGAAAATGTAGAAGTCTCATAAATATAAGAGTGTCACTGGCCGTGTGGTGGCTGGCTGGGGACACTCTGTCACTGGCAGATATTGATATAGATAAGAACTCGTAGGGATGATAATTTGCATGGATTTGCCCTGGGTGCTTTGGGATTTTTACTTTTAAAACTTTTGCCTTCTGGCAGTCTCCTTAACCTAAATAAATATTTTCCCTCCGATCGGTTAAGTTCATGGCTGGGGGTGAGGAATTGCTCCTGGCAGATTATTTATTTCTTCCTTGAAAGTGTTGCCTCTTCTTTAAAATCTGGTGTATTTCTGCATTTATGTGTATAGTTTTCCTGTTGATTTGTTGAGTGATTTAAGCGCCAGGAAAATGGGGATCCCCAGGAGATGGGAATGCCAGGGGTGGGGATGTGAGCATGGGAATGAGCCTTCTGGTCCAGCTGGGTGTTGTAGCTTCTTCCAGCCCCACTCTGGGCACCCACTCCGTGTTTGCTGACATTTGCCCACAACCAGCCATGCTCCAAGGTCTCCTCTGGAGCTTTTACAGCCCCATATTCCAAGGGCTCATTCCTATAACCTGGGAATAACGCTATAGGTAATGGGTGTTTGCTCTCACACCCCTCAGCGATATATCAACTCCTCCTAAATACATTAGCGACATCAGAAGGTTAAATATGCATATTATATCATCCCTGGCGGGTTTATTTGCAGGAGAGCAATGGGTGTCACAAGTTCACCACTTCAAAATTAAGTTTATTTTAGTGATGGAGAATGTGCTTCTTCTATTGAGCATCTGCTGGTTATTTTCTGAGAAGAGTTGGAAGAAAAACAGTTTTGCAAAGAGTAGAGGGGTGGCTGAGCTGGTTTTTATTTGATAGTGGGTGCTTAGAAAGTGCTGATGGAGTTGATGAGGCTTTAGTTGCCGATGTCTGGCAGTGGGGAGCTGCCCTGGGGATTTGCCCAGTTCTTGGCTCCTCTGGTAACTTATTAACTCTCAAAATTGCCCTCGTGTTTAGCAGCTGAGGAAATTAATTGCTGAAGGATCCCAGGGTTTTAGTGTCATTGCTCTGGACAGGATTGATCCAAAATGGTGCCGGGGCCAGTTCTGCCACTGTGTGGGAGCCAGGTATTGTGTGAGGGGAGCAAATGGGGCTGATGGGGCTGGACATGGTGCTTTGCCACTTCCTTTGCAGTTTAAGGGCTTGAAAAAGGGTTACTCCTTTGCAGCTCAGTTTTCTTGCCAGGGTTCCCATCTCTGGAAGTGTTCAAGACAGGTTGGACCGGGCTTGGAGCAACCTGTTCTAAGTGAAAGGTGTCCCTGCCCATGGCAGGGGGTTGGAACGAGATGATCTTCAAGGTCCCTTCCAACCCAAATAATTTTGTGATTCTCTGATTCATTTGGGGTCTGTGAATTTGTACCCCAACTATCCCATGTGTTGTTCCAGAGCTGCACTGATTTGATCCAGACTTACCCAGACCAGCACATGCTGTCTTCTCCTTCTTCCTCCTTGATTTTTTAAGCCATTTAGCAATGTATGATACTCCAGCAATTTTGGGCACCACAGGGAATTTGGGCTCATTAGGACTCACTGTGGGGACCATGCAGATTTTGCCTTTTGACAGCAGTGCTTTTCTCCTCACCCATCCCTCCCTCTCCTACTGAAGGACTCCCCTTCCCACCAGGATGCATAAGCTGAGCCTGGAAGGGTTTCTGTGCTCTAGTCTTTTTTTAGGCTAATAATTAAACCATAATAACAGAGCCCAGCATCTCTTTATTTAAAGAGCAGATGGAGTGTCCTGGATATTAGCATGGCCCTGGCTCCAACAGTGCCAGCAAGTCCTGGAGCTTGGGGTGTGGATGTGCCCCCCCAGGACTGTGTTATTGGGAAGGCAGTGGGCAGCAGCCCCATGGGACACCGGAATTACAAGGGCACTGTTGAGTAGAGGTGAGCTGAGATGCTTTTCCTGCCCGACTTTCCTATCCCACGGCTGAACCCCGTCGAGCCGCTTCAAAAAGCACTTTAGGATCCTGATGGTTCATAACTCCTTCCCACTGTCTGAGCTGGCAAACCTGGCTCAGCCGTGTGCTGGGCAGCTCTCCCTCCACCCGCCCCTGCGAGCGATCCGAGGAGCTGCGGCTTTTACGGTTACAACTGGAGTGGGGGTTTTTTGGTGACACACTTTATAGTGGATAATCCCAGGCTGCTACTTTACAAAGCTATAAAGGAGCCTGGCGCAGGCGGTGGCTGCTGAGCTTGCCTGGAGCTGGTTCTCCCTCCTCGCCTCAGCGATGATTTCGGGGCTGCAGATGCCATCCTAGAGGGTCCAGATCCATCACCCTTCCTTTCCCCTTTTTGTCTCCACCTGGCATCACCACCTACCCACTGTGTTGTTTACCTCCCACCCCAATTTCTTACTGAAACACCCTCTTTTTTATTTTTTTCTTAAGCAGCTGCAATTGATAATTTAGCTCTGGATAAAGCAACCTTCGAGCTTTTTCTTTCTCAGAGGCCAAACATTGATGTTATGTGAAAGGGGAGCTTTGAGGAGGCTTTGTATGGAACTTAGCTTCCTGAAAAATTTATTTACTGCGACTGTGATCCGCAGGAGCGAATTGATGTTTATCTATAGTAGTTCTTGCCAGAAAAAAAAATGCATAACTGCACTTTCTTGGGAAGCCTTGAAAGGCCTTTTAAATAAGTGTCTAATAGTAGGCTCTCAATAGCAAACAGCCAGCTTGATAGACAGTGTACAGTATATTATTAACTATAAGCAGGCTTAATCTTTTTCTCATGTTTTAGAGAATGCTTTATAACCTTGTGGCCAAAGAATTCATGATCACCAGGTATTTGAAGCTAAGCAAAAATTATACCAGCTGTTACTGCTGGGAGATCGATACTGCCGGGAAGCACGAGAGGCAGGCAGCTCCTGCTCCAGCCTCCGTCCTGGAGCTGCTGCTCCCGGCCAGGCCTGACTGCCCAGCTCGGATTTAGGTGGCTCCTCTGTCATGTGGGAGATTCCTTAGGGAGGGATGCTCAGGGGAAGGTGTTGTTTATTTATTCTCCTCTGCAGTTGCCGTGTGGGAGATGGAGGTCCTGGCATTGCGCAGGTCCCAGCTCGGTGGAATGGGATCATGGAATCTTTAAGGCTGGAAAAGACCTCTGAGGTCACTGAGTCCAGCCATTAACTCAGCATTGCCAAGGCCGCCACCAAACCATGTCCCAAGTGCCACATCCACATGCCTTTTGAACGCTTCCAGGGATGGTGATTCCAGCTCTGCCCTGATAGCCTGTTCCAATGCCTGAGCACGCTTTCTATGAACAAATTTTCCCTAATATCCAACCCAAACCTCCTGTGGTGCCGCTTGAGGTTGTTCCCTGTTGTCCTGTCCCTTGTTCCCTGGGAGCAGAGCCCCACTCCCCCTGGCTCCCCCCTCCTGTCAGGGAGTTGGAGAGAGTGAGAAGGTCCCCCCTGAGCCACCTTTCCTCCAGGCTGAGCCTCCCCAGCTCCCTCAGCCACTCCGGCTGCTCCAGACCCTTCTCCAGCTCCGTTCCCTTCTCTGGACATGCTCCAGCACCTCAATGTCCTTCTTGTAGTGTGGAGCCACATCTGAGGGCAGGATTTGTGCCTGATGGGATGGAGTCTGAGGATCCATCTCAAGGATCACCTGCATCTTTCCTGTGCTGAGTGTGGCAATAAAATAGCAGCAGTTTCCTGTGTGCAGTGTTTGCCCCGTGGCGAGGCCATTGATGTCCCTGGTGAGCCTCTGACTCCCTTGCCTTGTGTTTGGGGTGATTTTGGCCACATGCTGTAGTGCCCTCCTTCACAGTCATGTTCCTCTGCTTCTCCTGCCCGTGCTGTTGGATCCTGGGAGCTCTGGCCGGGAGTCAGGGAATCGATAGATGGTTAAGGTGATAAGTGGCTTTGCTAAAAACCAATTTTGCAAGAGGAGTTTGCAAAGAGGTCAGCGGAGAGGATCTATCTGCATGTGTGCCCCAAACAGCTCGCTCCGGCCAGGAGCTCGACCTGAATTAACCTGAGAATCATCCTCAGAGCGAGATGCAGCCACTCTTCTCCTGCTTCTGGAAATCCACATGGATCCTGTGGATGGGTCAGCCTGAGGGATAAGTCTCCCTCCTCCAGAGAGGAGAGGGGAAAAGAGCATTTGGGGGAAGATCAGCGAGGTGACTGTGCCCGAAGGCAACAGAAAATTAAACAAGCAGAATTTGCTCAGCTGATAACTTCTCGCTGGTCTCGGGGCCGGAGCTGTGCCGGCATTCCGGTGGCAGTATTTACACAGGGATGAAGTGTTCCCGTATGGCTCCTCCAGTGCAGCCAGGTCTAAGCAGGCTTTTCTCTAATCTCCACCACAGCTGGATGCTGCTTCCAACTCTATTTTCCCTTGAACAAACATATTCATTGCACCCACTGCTGAGAAGATCCCACAGCCTGCTTGCGGGGTCCTTACTGTTTTTGGCATAGCTTGGTGACACTGGAGGGACCATGTCACCTCCTGGCACTAAGCATGAGTGTCCCCCCATCTTAGGTCACCATGTGGACCCCAACTATATGTTGCTCTAAGAGATGGATTAGGGAGGAGTGAGCAGAAATAGGGAACAACAGATTCTAGAGGTGTTTCCCCGAAGTGTTTCTGACCACCAGCAGCCTTTGAGGACTTTTCAGAGGAGATGGAGCCGATGGTACCCCAGTTCTTCTTTCTGATTAAATTTTGCAGCTGTTTTTTGGCTCTTCAATATGAAGGACTCTCCGTGTATGATGAATCTCTTAAGACATGATCCCACAGGCTCCTTTGCTATATCCAGGGGGTCCCAGCTCCCTCCTGGCACTTTGCTGACCTGGTCTTGGTTTCATAGAGCATTCCTGGACTGTGTGGAAGTCCCCAAGCCCTGCCTGTTCCTTGGTGCTGCCTGGTAGGGTGTTCTTGGTGGTGCCCCATGAAAGAAGTGAGCTTGGGCTGCAGTTCATTGTGCTGGTGATTTATTTGAGGGCGTTGTAACATCCCTCCAGTTCATGCCATCTCTTGTGCATCCTCATCTCCACTGTGCCCGGGCTGCAGGGTGGAAAAGGTGTGGGCTTTCCCACTTATGCATTTGATTTTCTGTGGGCAGAGAGATGGGTTGTTTTTAAGCTTTCTGACATTTCTCAGCCTTGACTCACCTTTTCCCACCCACAAGGCCAGGGATATCCCTCAAACTCCATCCTCACATGTGAAACACTGGGGCTGATGGCAGGATGAGCCAGCACCAACATCCTCTCTCCCTTTGGGCAGCAGTTCCTTATTTTCCCTGGTTTTTGTCCCATGAATCAGGTGGAATTTCCCCAGAAGGAGCATGGTGGGATGTTCATGCCTTGCTGTCGAGCTTTTCTTTGGTGCTGTTATTTATTACTCCATCCCTTCCCTCCCCAGCCGCTGTTTGGATGCTGTGGCTGAAACCACCCTGTTATATTATTTTTTTAATCATCGTGGGGAGGCTGTTTCTGGATGCTGATTGACGGAAACATCTTATCTCCTCTAGTCAAAGTGTCTCTGCTTTGCGTGGTAATGAAATAGTTTGACACTTTGACACGAGTGTCAAACACTTTTCTGAGGATGCAAACAGTGGAGGCTTTGATCTAGGTGCAAACTGGCTTCATTACAACAAACAGACCCCCCTTTCATCCAGGAAAGGAGATAAGGGGATTCAGTTGGTGCTAAGTAGCAGCTGCTCTTACTGGTTTTAAAAATAAACATAAGGAAAAATATCATAATAGGATAGTGAAGCTGTTTTGTCATGTTATAAACTAGTCCTGGTGCTGTGCAGTGAAGTAAGGTGGGTGTAAAGCCAACAGTGGGAATGATAAATGGGAGAGAATCCTCCTAAAATACAACTACAGAAATTTTCTCTTTTGGAAGATGTTTGAATTTGTTTTTCCCAGTCAGAAACACCTTTTCTGGAGAAAATGCATCCTGTTTTTCATAAAAGTGATGTGTTTTTTGTGGAAAAGAACCACTTCTGCTACTAGTTTGGGTTTTTTTAAGGAAGAGGGAGGCAGGCAGCCCTTCTGGGGGTCTAGAGTTCGGGGTCTTTGCAGGACTCCAGGTCCTGCCCCATGGCCTCATCCAGGATGGCTCCAGGAGATGCTGGGGCTGTGGTGGGATCTGCAGGGTTTGCACACTTCCCCATCCATCCTTTCCCTGGGGAGGGGTTGTGGCTTTGCCTTCTTTCTCCCCTGATTTTAACCTGTTATTTATTATAGTGTGATATTTATTATAAGGTGGTAAATATAATATTTATCATATTCTCTCCTGGCCAAGCCTGGAGGTATTTTAAGTCCTGGTGGGAGGGCTGGAGGCAGGAATCCCAAACATACCCCAAGCTGACAAAATTCTCAGTCATGAGCTTTTTTTTTTCCCCAATAGACAATTTTGAGTAGAAATGAGTAAAATCATCACTGGGTAAAGTGGGTAAAAGCATCACTGTGTTGGCATTAGGCTGGACTATGCCTGGATTTCGCCCAAGTTTGTCTAATTAAATGCAGCAGCACCTTCCCTCTATTTTAAGCCTTGAGTTTGGGCACAAATTGCCCTATGAACAGCTGAAGAGAATTGATGTGATGTATGGAAACCGTTAAGTTACAGCAAATCCCGAGGCTTTGCAGATTTTCCCTGCCCTCTGTGCCCCACAGACCTGAGCAGCGTCAGCCCAGGCACTGCCTTCTTTCCTCTGCCTTTGGGAGTTTTCCTTTTAACTGTTTACTTGGAAAAGCTTTTCCCTTTGAACATCTTGGACTGGATTGTTGTGGGTCACTTCCAACCGAACCATCCCTGTCTCCCATCCCCATCTCCCTTTGTCTCCTCCCTCTGGGCACAGCCTGGCACTGGGAGTGGGATGTCCATTATGACACCCTGGGTCCATATCCCCTCTTCCTAAAGAGTGACTGTACATCCTGGGAAGCTCATCCTGGGGTCATAGTGCTGGGTATGATGCCCTCCCTGTTCATCCCACCCCATCACCAGCTTGGATCCATTCTGTCTCCATTGACTGTCACTGCAGGGGTCCCTCCATGGGCCTTGTCCCTTTTGGGATGCCTGGCACTGGTGACCCTAGTGCTGGAGTTGTCCCTTGTCGTGCTCTGCCCTTGGGTATTCCCTCGAGATGTCTCTGCCCAGAGGGTGAGGAAGCACAGGATGGGCAGAAGTGCTTAATTTACTGCTTCCTTAATTTAGAGCAGCAATTCCTGCTCCTTGCCCTCATCCCTGCCTGCTTCATGCCAGGGCACTGGAGCCCAGTGAAATCCTCCCTGGGAGATGCTGGATTCGGAGATGACAGAGGATTTGGGGCTTAATTTTAGCCAGAACATGTGGCTCCTTTTCAGATGCCTCTCCAGTCAAGTCGCGGTGGCTTTGTTATAGTCAAGGAAAGAAAAAAATGCGCCCAAAACTGGAAAGACGATGTGGTTTCGATGGAATCTCTGCACAGACAGAGTCAGGGAATGTAGAGGAGGGAGCAGTTGCGCATTGCCCGGTGTGTGTCGGAGCGCGGCGAGGCTGCGTCGGAGATTAAAACTCACATTTCATTTTTATACACTGTGGTTAATCCAATAATGATTCCGTGTTCCAAACGGCAATAATATCTTTCAGCATAGTTAATCAGAAGAGACTTAATGCTGTCACTATTTATTAACCTTTGTTGAAAAGCAAGAAGTTTTCCTACTAATCTGTGATTGTTGCTCTTGTCAGGCTCTGTCAAGTGCAAACCAGATTTGGCATTCGTTCCAGAGGGGAGGATGCTCCCGCCTTCCTTCCCAGCCGTCTGCTGCATCCGACCCCCGCGTAGGAACATGGTCCCATGTGGTAAAGAGGCAGCTTTTCCCCCCCACAAAGTGATTTTTTTGCTGCCTGAGCCATATTCCTGCATCCAGGCCTCCCCACCTAGAGGGTATTTGGGGTAATGAGGCAGTTTAACCCCCCCGGCTTCTTTTTTGGCTGCCTGAGCCTTATTCCTGCATCCAGGCTTCTCCACCTTGGAGGTGTTTGGGGCAAAAAGGCAACTTTACCCCTCTTCAGTGTTATATTTTAGCTATCTGAACCACGTTCCTAAATCCAGGACCCCCCATTCCAGGGCTGTTGGAGCCAGCAGGCTCCCAGTGTAGGGAGATGCTCTGCTGGCCAGGTGGCACCGGGGCATCGACCTTGGTCTCTGATGGTTTGTAGGGCTTTAAGTGACTTCCAGCAGCTTCCCAAACTCAGGGGATTCCCCTCACCCCACTCCTGAATCCATGCTGGAGGGGAGGAAGGTGTTGCTGGGTGGACCAAGGGGGATTTTGTGAGGATGCTGTGGCACAGACTGAGCCGAGACACGTGGAGGTGGATTGTCCCTTTGATCCAGAAAGTCATCCCTGCATCCCAGCATCACCCCAGTCCCTGGCAGAGGCAGGTGGGATGCTGCCCTTGGAAACACAGCCCATTTCCCAGGATGGTAACTCCCGTGGCTCTGCAACACCGGGAGCTGACGTGGGTTTTGGGTTGCAAGTGTGTGGTGTTTGAAGCTCTGAGCTGATAAAAGGTCAGTGTATGGAGGAATTTCTCCTTCCATATCCTCCTGTTTGGCTCCTGTGGCGGGGAGGCCGGTGCTGGAATTGGCTCGTAGGAGCACCTGGGATTAATGAGCCAGCTTGGTGCCGCGCAGAAATCGATGCTTCCTGCATTAATTGCACTGTGTTCGAGCTTCAGCTTTTTATTCTGAGTTATGGAGTTACAGGCAGAGATGTCTCTCTTCGGCACAGCCCTGGATCCCATCCCATGGGAAAGGGCCTTCCCACAGCACCCATCCTGCCTGGGTGGGGTGGCACGTCCTGCCTTGCCATGGGATGGGGATGCCCAGGAGTGGCTGGAGAGGGAAAATCAGAAACCACGGCAAAAATGAACCCAAGGCTCTGCTTCCTTCCTGTGTTATCAGCCAAATGAGGAGATGGATGGTGATGGTCAGGCTGGAGTGGAAAAACCACTGACATCACCTCTGGGTCCAGCTCTGGTTTGCTGGGAGATGGATGGATGGATGGGCAGAAGGTGACAGGTCTCCACACAATGCTGGTGTTTCCTTGCAAGAGGGTTTGCAGCAGCTTTTGCATTTATTTACAAACTAATTTTCATTTAATGGCAATTAATTTTTATTTATTTGCAATTATTTCTGATTTCTGTGACCAAGCTTCCATGGGGATGGAAAACAAGGTCCCCTAGCCCCTCGTGGCTTTGGGAGCTGTTTTGGAAGAGCAGGAGTTGCTGATTTCCTATTTTTAGGGTGGACTAGCATCGAGCACTGTTCTGATCTCTCTTGATAACTCGAACAGGTGCAGTTATTTTACATACAGCCCCAAAGAATCCCACTTTCCTAACATCCTTGAAGCCTAAACATAGTATTTATATTTTTAGCAAATTATTCTTTCTAGTATTGATTTACATGTGATGTGGTCCTTGCATGAATAACTACCATAAATCTGGAAGCATTTATTAACCCAAATAGCTCCAAACTCAGTCAAATCCTGTGTGTGTTGGACACAATCATGGAACTTTAGATGCAAAGTAAGAGAGTAAAACATAAACCTTATTTTGTTGTGACCAGCTCAGAGTTTTTTCCAGCTGGTCCATTGATCCTTGATAAGAGGTAAGGGTTAAGATAATTTGGCAAAATGAAAAGGTAGGGAATAAGTAACAATAAATGGGATTTTTGATGTGGCCTGTCAATATTTGGGCTGGTGCCTGCCTGTGCCTTCCCTGCCTAGCCAGAGGAATTAACTTCTGAACTCAGTGGCTCCGGTCTTTTTCTCCTGACTCCATCCTTCGTGCTGATGGGCAGCAGGGACAGGCACTTACTTGTTATCCAATTGATACTGAGCCCAGCAAAGCTGGGCTTTGTGGAGCCAGGGCTTAAAAAAATAGTGTAAATCTTGTTTGGTATTTGTGAAACAGTGATTGTATTAAAGAAACCTTGGAGCCCTCGCTGGTGCCAGACGTGGAGGGCTGGAGTTCGGAGGGCTGGAGGGTTTCTCATTCTAAATTTAGCCATTTAAAAGAAGATTATGGACTATGCACTTGGGACTTTTAAAAAGGCTTTCACAATAACTCTTGAAAGCCTGATGCCTTTAATCCTAAACTTTAATTTAAAATAAAGAAAGCTTTTCAACTTGCCTCCCTCCCCTCCTCCATCCCACTCTTGCAGGCTGAGGTTCTTCCCAGCTTGCTTACGGAGCAAAGATGTGCTCAGCTCTTTTAATTTCTTATGAAGATATTTATTTTTTAATAGAAAGAAAATCAAGTCAACACTCGAGAGTATACACAGCAGTTTACCACGATAGGGGGAATTAATCAGTCTATAAAGTTCAAAATGTACAAAGAGGGAAGAAAAAAAACACCCTGACTGATCAAACACAAGGCTCTTCTCTGAGATGTGGAGATAAAAGCCTTTTCCTCCACCGGCTTCTCCACTATTGGCAGCCAGTGGGATCAAGATTATTTTTTATTTATTTTTTTTTGTTATGGAAAGCTCGAGATAATTAATGTTGTTGAAAGAGGACCGTTGGGTTGGCGTCTCGCAGGCTGGCCCCCGAGTCTGGCATCTTGGGAAGCAGCAGCCAGTTGTGGGGGGGGGGAGGAATGTCCCCCACTGAGGGAACTGCCAATTTAACGGAGCAATAAATAATATGGAGAGATAAAAAAGAGCATTTAAAAAGGGCTGTGGGGCTGCAGTTGCTGTCGAGCCTCTTGCCTTTGCGATCCGGCAGCATCTCGCAGGTGATGCTCCTTGGGATGCTTCTGCAGGGCCAAATACCTGCAAACCCCTGGATAGTGGGAATTGCTGGATGAGCTGTGTAGACCTGCCCGCTGCGTGCTTGATGTGTCGTCTCCTAAAGCTCGTTTGGCTGTGTCCTATTACGGCGTTGGTGTTAAATGTGCCTGCACTGATAATCGATAGACGTATGGTCACCCAGGCTGTTTGTGCATCTCCTCTATCACAGCCCTGACAGCACGAGATCAAGATGTGAGCAGGCAGGCTCATACATCGAGTGCTGTTTAAAAAGCAGGATGAATTAATTACCGCCATTAACGGCCGGGGAGAGACTTTAGGAAGCTTCAGCCGATGGTTTGGAGCCTTGAGAGTGAGATAAACTGAGTAGGTGGTGTCTTACGGTGCTTTGCTGGTGTTTCAGTTCAAGGCTAGGATGGTGTGGTCCGTGTTCCCCATCCACATGAGACCAACCAAAATTTGTAGGGTTTGATGAGTCCCCTGCGGATCTGGCAGGGGATGGACCTGGGGGAAAGGCATATCTAAGTGCCCTCATTCCTAGTGTTCCTAGCCAATGCTGGGAACAAGGGCATACCCAGTCCTTTGGTCCTGCATCCCCAAACCTCCCTCTGACACCCCTGACCGAGGATCCTCATGGGATGATGCGTGACCCATGGGCTGGGGTGGTCCCCAGACATCCCACCAGCACTGCATCAGCATCTTTACATGAGGCATGAGTAGGTGGTATCTCATGGTGCTTTGTTGCTGATATTTCAGCTCATGGCTGGGATACTCTGATCCTTGAACCCCCATCCTAATGAGACCAACCATAATTTATAGGATTTGAAGAGTCCCTGCAGATCTGGCAGGAATAGACCTGGGGAAAAGATATATATGAATGCCCTCATTCCTAGTGACTGAAATCCCTAGATCCTGCATCAGCAAACCTCCCTCTAACACCCCTAGCCAAGCATCCTCACAGAATGCTGTATGATCCATGGGCTGGGATGGTCCCCAGACATCCCAC